AATTTCTCACAGACTCCCAATATTGGCGGGGAAGGGAATGCTCCCTGAAAAATTCATACTCTTAGATGAAGACAGGTTGCACTGTGGTTGAAATACCTCTCATGGCTCAGTCCCTGGCAGCCAACCAGCCCTGGACATGTCAGAGCCAAGATATTATTCACTTTTCTATCAATACCCCAAACTTAAGAGAACTTGAGGCTTACTGAGATGTGACTTGTGTCATCCTACTATGTCCTAGCCCTTTCATAGGCTACAGTGAACTTATTCTCAAATGCCTTTCATAGAAAAATTGCAACTCAATGGTCACTTGGAATACACATTTTCAAATCTTCATTGTTGCTTCTGTGAGGTTTTCTACAGGTTGAAATGGAATGGATCCATAAGAAACTGATGATGAGGTCATACTGTTTTGGGGGAGTCTGGGGTTACCTCTATCCCTAGCCCTGTTTCCCAAAGCTGGTTTCCTTGGAATTCAGCCTTTCACACCAATTTTGCATTTCTCTCTCACCTATATACCCAGACCACATTTGTGACAGGATAGCTCAGCTTTCTGTCTGAACTCTGTTAATGCTGTTTTAGGCATGAGGCTGATGTTGCCTTTGCTCACAAGCTAAATGCTTCCTAGGAGGGTTGGTTCTGCCCATTAGGCCATCTCCTAGCAGAGGTCCCTGCATTGGAGTCTCAGGGATCCAGAGGAAAAGTCTCTTGGCTTTAGAGGCCCTGTTCCTGAGAAGTCATTGGGGAACTTTGTGAAACCGTTTTCTATTGTTTCATCATGCTTTGCTACTTCTAAGCTCTTCTCTGTGTCAGTTGAACTGTATCTTTTGAAGGGGTGTGGGATGCATAACAACAGATAAAGTGAAAGAATAAGAGATCAAGTCCTGAGCTTGGTGAAGAAAGAAGAGTGGGAAAAAAACAATCTTATTTGTAGATTACTTGTATTGATTAGAGTCTTCCTTTTTATGTGAAACAAATGTACCATACTAAACTGGCTCAAATAGCAGTTAGGTGGCTCTGTGGTCAGAGTGACAGGTTGTCACTATCATCATCGTCTGTCCTTTGTTCTCTAAAAGGACCATGACATCAGGGAGGTGATGCTGTGACATGCAAATGGATTGAATTTAAGTGAGGGAGGGCTGTGCAAAGTCACCAGCCAGTGACCAGTCATCTGGGTCTAGTGGCGAGATATAGATCAGAATAACTGGAGATAGACCTCTAGAGTGCCAGGCCCAGAGTCAGGAAGATGTGTGTTCAAATCCGGCCTCGGATACTTCCTACCTATGTTACTCTAGGCAGTCACTTAACCCTGTTTGCCTCGGTTTCCTATGGATAAAATGAGCTGGAGAAGGAAATGGCAAATCACTCCAGTATCTTTGTCAAGAAAACACCAAATGGGCTCTTGGAGAGTTGGACGTGACTGAAATGACTGAACAACAATAAACTGGCTCAAATTCTCAGGTTAACTATGCATATCTTGCTCTTGACTCAGTTACAGTTGCATGAACAAAAGGAACAGTTCCTCCTTGCTCTTATTAAAGGCTTATCTACTGATATATGGCAAAAGGGTTTTTTTAATTTGTATTTCTTGATGTTGATAGTGCGAACTTATTTCCAACCAAGCCCGGGGAGGTTTTCCTGAATGATAAGCCTTCACTGGTAGTTGTTCTGTGTGCTGCCTATTCAGAGGGAGAGGTGAGTACTGATTGGCTGAGAGATCTCAGAAGATGCTGGGCATGCCTGCAGAGGGGGCAGACACTTTGTAAGAGGAATTTTGAGAGAAGCAGTCATGAAAAGCAAGGAAAGACTTCTGAGTGATGGACAGGAAATATCCCTGGAGCTGCAGAAATGTGGAAAACTGAGTCCCCAACATGTCTTTTGAATTCTAGTACTTTGCAACCCCTAAAGACTGTGTATGGAGTTTCTCCCACTCCCCACCAACACAGTTTTCTCCTTGGTTGAGCTGAGGTGTTTTTATCTTGCCCTCCAGCTCTCCTACCCTAATCTGTGTGACTTCTATGATTTCAGTTTGCTGTTTACTTTTATAAAGTGGTTTTTTACCTATCTGTGATAGTCTTTTCTGTAACCAGCATTTGAGGCATGGCAAGCTAATTACTGTCCTCCCCTTGAGACTCATCATGATAAAAGACATTTGTCCATGGTCCCAAAGTGTTATAATCCCAGATTGCAAATATCTGACGTGTAATAGATACACTTCTAGTCCAACGCCTCTTGAAGAGAGAAGAGCATTATGCTTTTACTTCTCTCTACATCTGGGCCCTGCAGTCTTTTCTGTCTGATTTGTGTATTCCAGGCCATTCACCTACAGTTGGTAGCAAACATCGGGTACCAGCCAATGTCCCCTGGATGCAGCCTGTGCTCGGTTCCAGTCAACTTCCTTTTTGGGACCCCCTCAAGGCAAGGACAGCTCTATGCCCCTTGCCAGCAGGAAGTAGTTTCAGAAGCCAAGACCTTTGCCCTTATCCCAAAAAATTTGGGTCCCATTTGTTTGAGGCGGGAATGATGGTGATGGGATCTGTACCCCTAAAAGGAAAAGACCATGTCTTTGGGATCTGGACCCCAAAAAAGGAAAATCCCTGGACTTTTCCCAAATCTCTAGCATTTATTTGAGGCTGTAATCTGTTCATAGAAATTGGCTGTGCCCAATCTCCCAATTCTATTCAGTTACCTCCCGACTGCCCCTGACCACTTCGCACCCTTAATCCGGGTGTTCTATTTACTGAAGCTTACTGGCCACTCCCTTCTAGATCCTCTTTGGACACCCCCTCCAGTCACCCCAGACTACTTGGCCATTCCTGGATCCCTGCCAAAGTCTTTCTGTATATAAGATTCATCTTATCTCCATTAAGGTGCTCAGATTCTTAAGATTTGGCTCCCTTGCATTAGTGATACAAATGCTTAGATTCCTTAAGAGTCTGGTCAATATGGCAGATATTCTAATAAACTTTGCCTTTGGCTTGAAAAAAAAAATAGCAAAGGAGCCAATACTCAGCCAGGGCCCTCCCCTTCCTCACCACAAAGGGGAAATGACCCTGTCCCCTTGGACATAGGTGGGCTAGATCCCAGGTCAGATACTTATCCATGTCCTATGGGAGCCAGACATATCTTTTTATTGCACAGTCTAACCATATATCTCCTGGAATACTTGATGTTAAACTAGCCTTGTATACCTCATACAAATTTTTTTGATCATGACGAATAATTTAATATATATTGCTGTTGAGTTGTTTCCAACTCTTCATGATCCCATTTGGGGTTTTCTTGGCAAAGATACTGGAGTAGTTTGCATAGCCTTCTCCAGCTCATTTTACAGATGAGGAAACTAAAGCAAACAGGGTTAAGTTTCTTGCCCAGGGTCAGACAGCTAGTAAGCAAATTTGAACTCAGGTCTTCCTGACTCTAGAGGCCCAATGCTCTATCCACTTTATCACCTAGCTGCCAGGATTAGCTTTAGGCATCATTTTTGATACTTATTAAGTACCCTGGATATACTGGGTGCTGAACCGGACAAAGTTATAACACCCAGAAAGATGACTCTTGACTCTAGGCCTAGGGCTCTATCCACTGTGCCACCTGGCTGCCCTTTAAAAATATATTACTCTATTCTATTTGATATTGTTTTATATAGTATCTTTGTTAAGAAGCCTGTTCCATAATTTTTTTTTATTGTCCATCTTTACCTGTTGTAAAAATTAACAGCTTATTTGCCTCATCAAAGGTATTGGGTAATGTCTTTATTCATCTAGGTAACATTGGGGTTATTTGTTTCAAGGAAGTTTGAAAGAATTCTGCTGTGAATCTTTCGGGCCAGGTGTTTTTCTGTGGGTTAATTTTTTAATGGGTTGTTATGTTTCTTCCTCTGGAAAATTACACAGCACAAAGGCAAGTTTCATCTTCCAGCTCAACACCTCCTGACATTCTGGGAATAAAAAGTAAAACCAACATGTAATAACCATTTTGGATGGAAGACTTCACTGTACTGAAGGGCAGAGGTGGATTAAACCAGTGCTACCAAATAGCATTCTGTGACAAAGTTTTACCAGTCCACAAAAATTTTGTTACCCTAGGTACCTATTTATCATACCCTATAAACTTGAAATACTGACCTGTTTATCCCTGCATCCTACTCTTCCCTACCCCTAGCCTTTCTCTCTTTTTTTCAGTTCCTTTCTCTGAATAGCTATCCTGAGGCTGCGGTGGTCAAGTTGCTTACCCATAGCAATAAAGAATATCAGTATTTTATTGGTCTGTAATATTATTTGAGGTGGGAAGTTGGATGACCTCAAGGTCACGTTATCTAACACTGCTTACAATTTACTGGAATTCTTCCAACATTTATACTCACATAAGAGGTGGACATTCTAGCAATAGATCACAAAGGGGTATTATGACTTTGTCCTATTCAGCACCCAGTAAATCCAGGGTACTTAATAACTACTAAAAATGATGCCTAAAGCTAATCCTGGCAGCTAGCTGGTAGAGTCAATAAGAGCACTGGGGCCTGGAGTCAGGAAGACTCATCTTCCTGAGTTCAAATTTGGCCTCACACACTTACCAGTTTCTGACCCTGGAGAAGTCATTTAACTTCATTTGCTTCAGTTCCCTCACCTGTAAAATGATCTGGAGAAGGAAATGGCAAACTGCTCTAGTATCTTTGCCAAGAAAACCCCAAATGGAGTCACAAAGAGCAGGGCATGACTGAACAACAAAGCTAATCATGTCATTTATTTCAGACAGAGACCTATAGGGTTTTTTTTTTGGCTGTTAGTGAACAGTCTCTATTTTGTCTAAGTCATATGACCTTGTAAGTAACTTCAGATGGGCAACATAAAAACTGTGGGACCCAATCCTAATTATATCATTAACTTGCTTCCATGAACTCAGACTGGGCACACACTCCTTTTCCTTAAATATTCCTACAATCTTGAGAGTGGAGTGCATGTCCACAGTTGTTATTTAAATGAAGAGTAAGGGATTTTGCATTCTTCAGTCAATTAAGTGTTTATTAAAGTATCTCCATTCTAGGCATTATGCTTGGTTCTTAATAAATAAAAAGCATTAAGGGATGCATGTGTCAAGCACTGTGCTAAGTACTGAGAAGAAAATACATAAAAAAAGAGAAGACTCTGCCCTTAAGGAGCTTACATTCTAAGAGGGGAATAGAACACATAAAAGAGAGTGGTGGTTAGGAGGGGGTAAATTTGGTTTGGAAATACGCAGGGATGGGGAGTGGAGCCATAGGGCACTGACATATCCTTTCAGGTATGTAGTGCTTATTTGATTATTGTTCCCAGAAAAGGGTGGGGGTAGGGGAGGCACCTCATGAAAATGGTAGCAGAGTGTGTTGGGTTTGGGTTGGGTTCGATATGGAGAGTCTTCATCAATCAGGAGTGCAAGGCCCCAGGTGGGGAACTTCAGGGCTATCTGGGGTCAGAAGCAGAGGGTGGAGTGAAATGTTTCAAAATACTGAAGAACCAATGATGACAAATTCTTCTACCTGAAATGGATTTCTTTACTGAATTTAGAAGCCACTTAGGGGATACACAGATATGGAACTGCTCTGATCAGCAATAAGTATCTTTCCAGACCCCTTCATCTTGCTATATGAGAGCCAGTTCACTTTGTCCCCATGTTCAAGAGTCAGCTTTGGTAAGAAGTCAGTACATGGTGGTGGTTCATTTGTTTCTAAAACATTTTCCTTTTCTTTTGGTTTGGGATAGGTTGGAGTTTTAGGCTTTTTCCTGTAGGTGAATTTTACAGGATTCCTCTGTTTTCTCTCAACTTTGCTGCTCACATCCCATAACTTCACCTTCCCATCATTCCCTCCACTAAGCAGCAAATAGGAATCTGGAAGAAAGTACACCTGTGAAACCCCCAGTGTGTGGCCCTTAAATCCTAGTTCCTGTTCACAGGTGACCCCCAATACTCTAAAAATTCGGATTTTACCATCTTCAGCACCACAACTGAAAACACGCCCACAAGATGCCACGGAGAGAGAGTGAGCTAGGGCAGGATTAGAGAGCTGACTGGATGCCTGTTCTGGTTCTCCTATCTTGACTGTTTCTTCTTCCTGTTCCTCTTCCTGTTTGTCTTCCTGTTCCTGTAAGTTTACCATCCAGAGTGGCCGAGCTTTCTGTAGGTTCCACAGCATTACCTTCAAATAAAAGTCAAAAGTCATGTATAGTAACAACTCACATTTTTAATAGTCCTTTAGGGTTTGCAAGGGGTTTTCCTCCCAACAACCGTAAGAGGTATGCAGTACAACTATTATCCTATTTTGTGGGTGAGAAAATTAGCTCTAAGAAGTTCAATGACTGGTCTGTGAGCACAGACTTCCTGCCTTCAATGTTAGCCTGCTACATGTCATTCTTCTTCACGCAACAGACAGTTCTAGACATTTTGCTCAGCAATCAAACTTAGTTATTTAGTCTACTTAAATCAACATGCATATCTGACTAGAATTTGAGGATGCTAGCAGATCCCATTGAGATAATTGAGAGGAGGGAGGGAGGGAGGAAGAGAGAGAGAGACAGACAGACAACAGAGTTCTGGGAGTGGCAGCACCCCCAGACCACTAGTCCTCACAGTCTATGGAAGCAAGTCCTGTGGAGAAAGGCTAGTCATCTGTACCATTCAACTGCCCCTCTCAGGGCAGGCAAGCCAGGCAAAGCTGAAGCAGCAAGACACCCTGATAGGAAGCAGTATGTGCCAAGCAAGTCAAATCACCCCCACCCCCACCCCCACCATGATCTGCATCTCCTCTCAGACCCTCATGGAGGGTCCAGTACTCTGAAACCAAGAGCCTTGGGAACCCAGTGTCCTCAGCCATCATCCTGGTAAGATGAAGTCTAGCAACTGCTCCTGCAAGGTGCCTTAGCTACTGGAGACCCAGAAAAGAAAGTTCTTGCCATCAAAGTCCTTGGCACTGTCAAATGGTTCCATATCAGAAACTGATATGATTTTATCAATGAAAATGACATTAAAAAAGAAGTATTACTATCTGCTTTGTGGCTGTCCCCAAGGACCATGAAGCCTTTCTATCTGACTTCCAGCCTGAACCCTCCCCATGTGTTGTCTCTCCTAGTCATTAAAATGTGAGCTCCTTGACAGCAGGTCCTGTCTTTCACTTCTTTTTTGTGCCCCCAGTTCTTAGGGCTTTGCACATAGCTATGCTTCATTCATTCGATCTAAGGATTAAAAAACTTGACCACTACCACATAAGCCAGTGTGATGGCCCTCTGACGAGAACACTGGGATACTTAATGGATCCAATAGCTTAACAACATGCGTACTTCCTGCACCAGTGTAGACTACACTGTCCATAACTTTTTGTAAATCTTCCACAAATGATCCACACAATATACACTGGGGGCTTTCCTCTTTTAATTAGAATTTAGTTAAAACCCCCATGGCAAACTATGTATAATGTTCCAAGGAGAGAATCTGAATGATTTCCAATTACTGATCCCAGTAATATTTTAGCCTCCCAAAGAATATTCTCAGGTAACATTTCTTCAAAATTATTGTAATGGCATCATAAAAAGGTCTTTCAATCTTACCTTTGCACCTTTGCTATGGTTACCTTCCATACTCTGTATGTATCTTGTATAAATCCATTTATGTACATGTTGTTTACTCCTTTAGGATGTAAGATCCTTTAGGGCAGGGACTGTTTAATTTTTCATTACTTAGCACAGAGCCTGGTATATAATAAGTGCTTAATAAATACTTGATTGATCTCCAGGTAAAATCTGGCATTGTGTACCTTACTAACATGGACACTAGGTTATGCTGAGAATAGACAATTATTCAAATAATCATGGTCTTGGACAATCTTGTTGTAGTTTGGTTTTTCTAGCCTAGTCTTTTACAGGCTGTTTTTTCCCCTAGTCACCTAACCTCCTCCCTTTTTCCTTCCCTCAGTCTGACAATTTCTACACTTGGATCAATCTGGGCTGGATAGATCTAGTTTCCTACTTGGTTGGCAATTTCTTGACTGTGACCTCAGTAGAAGAAAACACCTGGACCCTTTTCTGCAATAAATATCCTTGAGGGGCTCTGATCTGGGAGTTGCCATGACTCAGAGCTGTTTCGATCAGCCATGACACCCAACCTGAACTAGGAGCTTCCCAAAATCATGGACTGAGAGTTTTTTTAGAACACTGTCATTTCCTTACTGCTATAGCCTGAAGACCAATGTGCCTGAGGCTTCCTGATGGTATCTCTGGTTGGGTCTCCCTGCTTTTTCCCAAGATGACTTTATAAATGTTAAAACTAAAATCTAGAAAACCAATTTAGGCCCATTTAAAAATAAAGTTACTAAGCTTTTGGCAAGAATTTTGCATTTGAATAATTTATTTTCTCTCCTCTGTCTAAAAGTGAAAACATATCAAGATTGTTCCCCCCTCCTCAAACAGGGTGAAGTACTGTTAAAGTTTTATTCTAAAAATTTAATATTTTTCTGTGAATTACACTGGACAGCTAGATATACATGCCTTTGTTTTCTGAGTCAAAAATGAACCACTGGATAAATGGGTTTGATGCTATTAGCAATGTGATTTTATAACTCAAAAGGTCTTTCACCACATTAAGGCCATTTTCATAAACATTCTCAAAAGAGTCGTGACATCTAGTAGCTACCAAATATGTCTCCTAAACTTGTGCTTCTGCTTGCAAGGCATTATTCTGAAAACTCACTTAGGTGGAGACTGTTCCATTTTATAAATAGCAGGCAATCATGAAGCAGAAACACACTGAGATCAAAGAAATATCAAGGAATCTAAAATAAGAGATTAAACACTGAAATTAAATGAGGTCAAAGTAATTGAGAAGTAAAAGAAAATTCTGAAACTAAACTGCTGAAAAGCATTTGAATATAACCAAGATCTTTTCAACACTACCCAGGTTCCTACATTATTTTTTATATTTGCTTCCCCAACGTCCAGACTACTTCTTCCCCTTATCAGACACTCTTTACCCACAAATCATTTTCAACTGCTTGATCAAATTCATGCTTCCCTCAAATCACTCAAATGTGTTCTCAGGAGTCTCAGATACCTTCAACAATAGTTGGCTTGAAACTCAAGTCATTACCAATTATTCTGGATTCTCAAACCATTCCTGCCTTACCTGAACACTCCTTTCTTTCTCTGCCACATTCTTTAACACCCCCCAAATGTTGAAAAGTTGGCACCTTCAAATTCCTGGGCAAACCATTCAGCCATATTTGTCAGTATCTGAAACTAGGACATGGGACTTTTTTTGGGAGGGGGGCTGAAAATAGGGAGACAATACAAAAACAGAGTATCTTTGGTAAAGATGAAAACAATTTAGGGAGTTTTAGGGCTGGGGCAGGTAGATACAAAGGGAGGGAAAAATGACAAAAGAGCAGACTGGGTACTTAAGAAAAGTAGATTTCTGGGTAAGACCTTTGGCAGATAGCAGATTAGTACCCTTCACAAGTAGGTTGCTAAGTTGTTAACACCTCTAGTGATGTGAAGTTTGCCTATAGTAGGCAAGGAACACAAGATATGCTTTCCCGTCCCCTCCCCCAAATCTACTTCCCCTACATATCCTATCATTCAGAGATTCATTTCAGTTAAACATGTTCCCTTCTAAAGTATAAACACTTTCTGTAAAGGATAAGCCTCTCTGACACCAGTTCTACCATAAGAACCACTGAGTGAAGAATTCTCTCTCACCCACGTCTGCTCTATGAGGTTATCTTTTTCCAGACATATCCACTTCTATAATAAAGGTTTATACAAGTAAGAGAGAAGAAAAACACTCGAAATTTCAGTTATAGAGATATTTGGTATTTCCAAGCTTTCAAGGATTTTAATAAATCCCACTTTGGTCTTAAAATCTCCTTGCCCTTTTCAGTGAATTCTTAATACATCTCTCGGGCAATGCAAATCAAAAGCTATGTATAGTTATATCTTGTTATAATTTCTTTTTGGTAAGAGACAAAGATGTATAAATTTGCAAAAATACTGTTGGTGCCATTGGTTAAAGACTCTCAGGAAAGAAAAATATAGAAATCTATCTGGTAAGAACTTCCTGCCATTTACCATTCTTATCTAACTTTTAAAAATCTTTCCTGAAGATAAGGCATTTTGTTAATTTAGTCTGCTTGGGAATTACGTGATTTCTATATCTCACCCTACAAGACATACTCTTGCCCAATTGTCTGGCTTTTCAGACACTGATGTGGTCAAACTCATGGCTTGAATGAAAACTTCAGGAGAGTGTCTTTTAGCAGTTCAACCATATAAGTCCCTAAATAGAGAGCTACTAAACCCATCTTTTAGCTGCATGGCCTATATTCTAGCTATTTTCAGGTCTGAACCTCTATACTACCTGTAGTGGCAGAGCACTGAGCAACTAGAGAAAGCTCAACGTGTACAGTAGAGGTAGAGAGTTTAAGGTTACAAGGGTGCCAACGTGATAAAACGTGTACAGAGTTTTGCAAATTTTAAAAGCACTTTATGATTGTTAGGTGTTACTATTATTATTATTATTCTTAGTCATCATCTTTCTAAAATGAGGAGGGATAGTCCAGAATGGCTGGGAGAACTAGTAGAGAGAGGCTAAAAAGAATCGCCAGTGTTCATGCTTAGGTAAATACCTAGCTTTGGTAGTATAGGAAGTCCTTCTGCATGAGTATATAGGCTATTTTTTCACCAATAGCAATGAACAATGTATGAAGTTCATAAAAGTCTTGAATAAAACTCAAGGAGTTTAAAGGTAATCACAGAGATAACAGACCATATAAAAACCACCAGAATCAGAGCTGAAGGGACTTAATTCACAGAATTAAGAGTCGGAAGGAACCTTAGAGGTCATCTAGTCCAGTGGTGTCAAACTCAAATAGAAAAGAATTCCTGCAGGCTGAATACTGACTTAGAAGACCACAAATCAACACTCTCTATACTGTATTGCATTTTTATTTAAGTTGTTAAATGTTTCCCAATTCCATTTTAACCTAGTTAGGCATGGGCCTCGAGTTTGACACCTCTGATCTAGTCCAATCTCCCACCCTGTCTGAAAATCTCTTCTATGGAATCCCTGATAAACTGGGTCATAAAGCCTTTACTTAAACATCTCCAGGAGTGGGCATCACATGACTGTCCATTACACAGCTAGAGTAGTCAAGGTTCTTTCTTTACTGAATTAAAATCTACTTTCTTGTGACTTTCATCTATTGTTGCTACTATAGAGTGTCAGGAAATAGGTACATTCTTTCTTTTGTGTGACAGTTTTTCAAATATTTGAAGATAATCATCATATCTCCCTCAGCAACCTCTTCTCCAGGTTCATCATCTCCGTTTTTTTTGCATGAGATTATTTTTAAACTCTCAATATTCTGGTTATCCTTCTCTAGGATATCCTTCTCTAGGATGTTCTTTAGTTTTTCAGCGTAATTCTTAAAAAGTGGTGCCCGGGACCAAACACAATACTCTAGCTGTACACTAACAAATTATAGTGGAATTATCATTTTTCATAATTCTATAGTGAAACATGGGGCAAGAAATAAGTGATTCAGCCCACTTCTAGCTCCTGGTTCCTTGGGTTACAAAGTAATGCTGTTTTCAGTCCTCTTTCCCACTGGCACAAAGTCAAACAATTAAATCCTTACATCTGAGGGGAGGGAAAGTCCATAGTTCATAAATAGGTAAGGAAAGTTGAAGTAGGGTAGAACAGAAAGATCTTTAGCTCAAATCGCTAATTTGATGTGGTAAGTAATAACTGGTTTAGCAATTACCCATGTACTGATTTGCAAAAATCACCTGCATGTCTAGTCCACATGACAATAGGCTCTGAGGTCTGTGAGGCCGAAAAGCAACAGAAGAACAGATGTTTGAATGTTTCCTCAGGGATCGGCTAACCCGTTTGTTGACCAAGTCTAAGATTTTGATCGTTCCAGAGTCATCTGCAGAAGCTAGGAGGTTTTCTGTTTCATTCAATGAAAGACAATTGACTTCCTCTTCATTCACGTGGAAATCCTCAGTCGAACCTGTGAAGGATCTGACATCCAGAATGCTAATAATTTCACCATGTGATGCATACAGTTTATTAGGACAGGTAGGAGAAAATCTGACACAGGTAACATCATCAAACCCTTGGAATTCTATCTGTCCTACTTGATTCCCTTCTGGGCTCCAAATGATGAGGTCACCTTCCTCTCCTCCTGAAGCCACCAGCCCTTCTTTATTTGCATCCAAGCAGAGAACAGAAGAATAATGTCCACCAGTCCATTTGACTGCCATGATAGTTCAGAAGAGTCTATGAAGTAAAAAAAAAATAGAAATCTAACATTTTCTTTTAAGAACTTAATTGTAGTAGACAAATACAACATTGTAGTATCTAATTCAAATGTTAAAAAAAAGCAGCAAATAGTTTAAAAAGCTAAACTTAACATAATCAGATGAAATTTGAGACAGAAGCATCTGAATAAGTTGGACAAAAACCAACTCACTTATATTTCTTTACTTTTGTATTGTGCTTTATGTTTTTCAAAATGTTTTGCATAGATTACCTCATCTAATCTGCAAAACAACACAGTGAGGTAGATAGTCAGGTCCTTTCCTTATTTTACAAATGAAGCAAATGGAATAAAGACACAGAGATACTAAGTGACTTCTTCAACTGTTATGTAGCTAAACAGCACTGGATTGGAAGTCAAGAGAGTTACAACTCTGGCTTGGCCACTTATTACTTATGTACTTTTGGGCATCTCATAAAGCTCTCTATGCCTCAGTTTCTTCAGGTTTCTTCCAACTCTAAAAGCAATGATATTAAGTGACAGAGCCAGGATTAGAATACAGGTCTCCTTTTTACTTTACCATGTTACTTTACCTAAATGATATAGTCTAACGATCTACAGAGTTCCCAAAAGTCCAACTTTTTTTTTGCTTTTTTGGTGAGGCACTCGGGTTAAGTGACGTGCTCAGTCACACAGCTAGTCAGTGTCAAGTGTCTGAGGCTGGACCTCTATCCATTTCACCACCTTGTTGCCCCAAGTGTTAACTTTTCAGGGTGTGTTGGTTACCTAGACTTGATCTTATAAGTAAGCAAGTCAATTAGGATCAGGGACCAAGTGACCCCCCTTTAGTGTAGCTTGGAATATTACACTGCCAAATATTATTGGAATATTACATTGCCAAAGTTATTCTTGCTTTAAGGTAACACATATGAATTTAATCTAGGGTCAGAACTGAATCCCTAATGTTGTTTTGTAAACTTAACACAAGATGAACTAAAATTTGTGAATCTGGAAGCAATCAGAAAAGGATGATTTTAGAATCATAGGATGTTAGATCTGGAAGGGCCCTAATCAGAGTAGTGCAATGGAAAGATCTACACAGTTGGTGGAATAAAGAATAAATTGAAAAGAGAAAAATCAGGAAGTTTATTACAAAACTCTAGTTCAGAAGAGTTGAGGGCCTGATTAACAGTTGTTATAATAGAAGCTGAAAGGAGGGTACAACTGTGAAATACATTGTAGAGGTTGAAATAACAGGACTTATCAACTAACTGAATGTGTGGGGATGCTGGAAGTTAAATTATCAAAGCAAGCTTAAAATAACAACCCCAGTTCTTTTCTACATAATCAAATGAAGCAATTTTTACAAAGTCAACAAAGTTAAAAAAAAATAAGAGCAGCAAAACAGCAAGTTATTATTGGGAGGAGACACTGACCAACTTGGGATTGAAGCAAATAAAACCAAGGAAAACCCAGGAAATAAAATGATTTAGAGGGAAAAAAAACAAAGAATTCCAGTGCTTTGATTTTTGGTGCCAAATATTCAAAGAGAGGTATAGCTAAGAAATCCTCTGCCAAGAACCAGAGAAACTGCCCAAATAAATACTTTTAGCAGTTAATCGAAGTTCTCTTTCAGATCTTTTCCTTAGTATAGACTATACCACCCATAAGATTAAGTCAATTTTTTTTCTAGGTATAAATTTGCAAGAATCACCAAAAAGTTCATTCAAGTTATAGTTCCGTCTACACTCAGAAGTGAGAAGTTGTATGGCATCATGGCTAGAATAACAAATGGACTTGGAGTCAGACCTTGTTTCATCTTCTACCTCAGACACTTACTAGCTATGTGATCATAGGCAAGTCAATGAACATCTCAGAGCCTCAGTTTCTTCACCTGTAGAAAGGGGATAATATAACAACGAGTTGTGGGAAACACATTTGCAAATCTTAAGTACTTTATAAAAGTGGGTTGTTATTGCTATAAATCTCGAAGACCATTAAAAACAGCAGCCACTTTTACCCTGCTTTGATAATTTTTGTTGTTGTTCAGTCGTTTCGGTTGTCTGACTCTTTGTGACCCCATTTGGGGTTTTCTTGGCAAAGATATTGGAGTGGTTTGCCATTTCCTTCCCCAGCTCATTTTACAGATAAAGGAACCAAGGCAAACAGGGTTAAGTGACTTACCCAGGGTCACAGAACTAGTGTCTGAAGTCAGATGTGAACTCAGGAAGATTTATCTTCCTGACTCTAGGGGAGACACTCTATCCACTGTTCGACCTGGCTACCCACTTTGATAATTTAGCCTTTATATGTAAGTGGTTTGCTTGCACTTATTCATATACATTGACTAGGTTGCCTGTGTAGGTCCTATATCCCCAATTAGATTTTAAATTCATCTAGAGTATGGACAGATCTTTTATCAGTGTTTCACAAGGAATGTACTTAAGAAATGTTTGCTAAATATAATTCCAGTTCTTTTGAATCTCCCTCATAGTGGGCCTGAGTAATGCTGACTAGCTAACAAAGAATGTTAGGAATTTATTTTATAAGTTAGGAAATGGAAAACCAGAGAGGTTATATGATTTGCCTAAGGTCACAAAGGCATGATGTAGAGAAGAGAGTGCTGTATCTGGAATCAGAGCATATGGGTACAAATCCTGGCTTTTCTACATGTTCCCTGAGTGACCTTGGGCAAGGCCTTTGTGCACAAGTTTCCTCATTTATAAAATGAGCAAGTAGGTCTAGATCCCTTCGAAGGTCCTTTCCAGTTTCATGTCTATGGACACTGTTGTACTTGAGGAGTTAGGAATATCTGGTTTTAAATTCTGTTTCTGACACCTAATAGTTGTGACCCTTAGCAGGTCATTGAATATCTCTCAGTCTCAGTTTCATCTATAAGATGATTATAACAGGATTGGTGTGAGGATTAAACTAGCTAACATATATAAAGGGTTTATAAACATTAAATCGACATCAATGTGCACTATTATTATACTATTAAGTGGGATTTGGTCCTAGGTCTTCTGATGCCAAATCCAGCACACTTTCTATTATTCTATGTTGCCTAAAATCAAGTCTTCTCTAAAAAGGATCAACTTAAGTTTTGAAGCTGCAGTTTTTAATGATCCATTTTATTTTATTTTATTTTTAGGCAATTGGGATTAAGTGACTTGCCCAGGGTCACACAGCTAGTGTCAAGTGTTTGGTCTGAGGCCAGATTTGAACTCAGGTCCTCCTGAGGGCTGGTGCTCTATCCAATGCCCCACCTAGCTGCCCCTTTAATGATCCATTTTAGAAAGTTAATAAGTTGACATTTTAGTTTTAACAAAACGTCCTAACCAAAACCAAATGAACTTCTTGTAAATACTTCCTGATAGGAACAAGTAATAGTAATTTGGTGCCCTAAGATGAGGCCATTTAGTGACAGCCTTCTTTAAACTTTCAGTTCTAGAAGAAAAACAGGTTTTACAGCTAATTCTGTGAATCATAGGGGTGAGGTTAACTGCCCACTCAAGCTAGTCAGAAAAATAAAGTGGGGACCTACAACGGGGTGTGTCAAGTTAGCAGCAAATTCACTGCCAAGGCAAGACATGCTTGAATTTCCATTTCCACACTCATTATGGGTGTGATGGGGTGATGGGAACCTAGACCCTGAGTTTTCCCATACATTTCATCAACCCAGTCCCTGGATCTTCAATAATCCTTTTAACAGCCCTTTCACTGTGGCACTCCACAACTTAACTCCTTTCATTGTCAGCAATTGGCTCACCCCAGGCTATTTACCACACCTAATCCCATCCAGATCTTCTCAGTCTTCTGGTATGTAAGTATCAGTTTTATCTCTACCAAACAGCAGACTCACTAGGAACTCTGGCTCCCCATAGTCCATAGGATAACAGATTTATTAGAAATCTGCCAGCCATGCTGGTGTTACAATAAAACTCGCTACTCTGACTGAAAGAAGACTTGAGTGGTCGAATTCTTTTGAGGCAGACCCCTCTATACATACCTTATGTTTGAGGGCTCCCCACACCCCAAACTGCAACATATGCATCTAAATTTATTGGTCAATCAGTATTTACTAGACAGAGGATTATTCTGGACCAATAATTTACCTCTGGATCCCTTAAATTTGTTTTCAGTAGAATCAAGGGGAATTATTAGAGTTTGCCAAACACTCAAATGCCAACCTCCACCAACATTAATAAACTAGTCAGAATCGGGGAAGAAATAGTGGGAAGAGAAAGCTTACCAGAATGTCTTGTACACTAGGACTCAATAAATGTTTGCTTACTGAATTAAATCAGATATTGACAACGTTTCAGAAATGAGGTGCCACCATGATGATTCCTGTTCTTGTCTCATAGTGGAAAAGGATTTCTGAGAATGGGGCAACCTTCCACCCAGTTCCTCACACTTCCAATGGTTAAATTCTCTTGTAAAGTGGGAAAAAGTTGTCTCTGGCATTACTTCCCTTCTTACCCCTTGGGAGAAAACACTTTCCTTAGTACTTCCCTCCTATATCAAGATTAACAGTCAATGTTGAAAAAAAATTCAAACAATTCCTCACAGGGTTAAAAATATTAGAAACAGCTTACCCCTTAACACTTGAGATCCAGTCACACAGGCAATGGGAGTTTTGAATGGTGTTGGAGAAGAAATAGTTTTATTATGGATTCTGGTCATTTCTCTGTAAGATAATTCTGTGCTCAGTGTGCTAATGGGGACCTTCAGGTTGTTGGGTTCATTTGAGCCCTTAGGGAATTCTGCTAAAAATGGGAGGTAATGCCAAAGACCAATATTCACTACTTTAAGCTTTACCACAGAAAAGAATCTATCTCAGAGGTGGTCGATTCCTGCATTAAATTAACATTAGAATACTTTCCTTAGTATAGGTACACAATCACTGGAGTATATAATGTAGGAAGAAAAGAGGAAATTCTCCATGTGGCACTCAAGCACTGGTCAATCCTTTGCTAGTAGTGCTCCTTAATTTAGTCTTATCTAGAGAAAGGGTGAAAAAGGAACTGGTCTATAGGACCCAAAATGATCACAATGGCTTTATCAAGAAAAATAAAGAGAACTAGGGTTATTTAATGGAGGAGAGGGGAAAGAAAGAAGAACTAAATAGAATAATATTCAAAGACTGCATATTAAATTCTACTTAAGCAAAGAAGCTGCAGGTCCCCTCCCCCAGGATTAGAGATAATATTATTATAATTATAGTATTCTATATGGGTTAAGTAGATACTATATACAAATACACACAATAGATACTATATGCAAACATAGTATCTGTTATAACCTATACAGGATACTATAATCATATTAAAAACGCACCAGGAATTTCTAGAATTTTTTATCTATAAGGGTTATGAGGTATTTAACTGGCCAATAAAAGGAGCTTTCATAGTGTAAAAATTCTTTAATAACTACGGTGGCCTAAAGAAAGAGTAATAAGACTAGTTTTTTTTCTCCCCAGATTCTTTGCAGGCCAAGCCAAATCATCTAAATGTATTTCTTAGCATGTGTCTATGTCGTTCTTTATACTGCAAAAAACTTTAAAAAGCCCAATAAATAGTATTCCTTCAAAGCCCACGAAATGAGTCTCGAGTAGGGGCCAATTCACCCACAGGGAAACCAACTAAGCTCTAAGATCCTTCCAGCACCAAGTACGATCCCACTTATTACGATCTCGGGGAATCTTTTGGTCAAACAACCGTGCCTTGTACGGGCCCGGCCTCGGCCTTCACCTAGGACAGAGAAGAGGTCGGTCTGTGGGCGGCGGGGCCCGGGCCCAGGCCCAGGCCCAGCCGGCTCCCAGGGCAGGTAGCCCTGGACTTAGAAGAAATAATCCCCGACAACAAAAGCAGCAGCTTGTAGAGCCAGCGAAGCCAGAAGCCCCTGAGGCGGGGAGCCCCGAGCAGCCCAAGCCTTTACCTGTCCGAACACCTGTCCCTCCCGGCGCCTGCTGATGATCTCATGGCCCAGCGCTGAATCCTCGATCGACTTACCAGGGATGGGCTCGCTGTCTGTTGTCTCTGGAACAGTCACATCCGGGTCCAAAAGGACTATCGGAGGAGCGACGTGCTCGCCTCGTGCCCTCAACCGGCATGGCGGAGCCGCAGGCGTCCCGCTGGGCGGCCGTGCGGACGGTTTCTGCGCTTGCGCCCAGCCTGGAGGAGCCGGAGAGAAGGCGCGGGGAGAGGGAAGGAAGGGGAGTGACGTGACCACTGAGGCGACCGCGCGGACGCAGCGGCCCTTGCCCATAGTGGGGCGGAGCCGGCGGACGCCCCAGTGCGGGCGGGGGTGGGGGCGGGGGTTCTGCGCGGCGGTTGGTGGGGCCGGAGAGGGAGCCGCTCCTGCCTCCGAGCCGGATTCGGCCTCTGGGGCAGAGACGGCGGGAGGCGGTCGTGGCGGCCTCCGGGCGGCTTGGGGAGCGGCGATGGCGGCTCCGGCGGCGCCCCCGGCGGCTGTGGCGGCGGCGGCCCCGGGCGGCAGCGGAGGCGGTGCCGGCGGCGGCGGCGGCGGAGGAGGAGGAGGAGGCTCGGGGTCGCCGGGGGTCGGGGGCCGGCTGCCGAGCCGGGTGCTGGAGCTCGTGTTCTCGTACTTGGAGCTGGCCGAGCTGCGGAGCTGCGCGCTCGTGTGCAAGCACTGGTACCGCTGCCTGCACGGCGACGAGAACAGCGAGGTGTGGCGGAGCCTCTGCGCCCGCAGCCTGGCCGAGGAGGCGCTGCGCACCGACATCCTCTGCAACCTGCCCAGCTACAAGGCCAAGGTGAGCGGCGGCGGCGGCGGCCTCCCTGCCCGCCCCCGGCCCCGGCCTCCCCAGCCCCAGCCCCAGCCCCAGCCCAGCCTGCACCCGCTCCGGCCCCGTCGCTCCTTCCCTTCTCCAAAACAGCATCGGCTGCTCGGTAGCTCCGCACTCTCTCTGGCCCCATGTCTTGTTCTTTCATTGGAGCATTTGCGTTCGCGCCCCCCCCCCCATCTCTTGTCCTTCCATTGGGACATTTGCACTCGCGCCCCCCCTTACCCTCATCTTTTGTCCTTCCACTGGGGCAGTTGCTCGAGCTCCCCCCCCATCTCTTGTTTTTCTATTGGGATATTTGCACTCGTTCCCCCCTTTCTTGTTCTTCTATGGGGCATTTGCACTCGCGCCCCCCCTTACCCCCATGTTTTGTACCCCCATCTCTTGTCCTTCCACTGGGGCAGTTGCACTCGCTCCCTCCGCCCCATCTCTTGTTCTTCCATTGGGGCATTTGCACTCGCTCCTCCCCCTTACCCTCATCTCTTATTCTCCCACTGGGGCACCTGCAATCACTCCCCGAACTCCACCAAACCTCGTTCCCAGTCTGCTTTTATTGTCCTGCCCTAAGAACTTGTTATGCATTAGGCTCCCGACTGCAGATATGTCCAAGCATCCTCTAAACTTTCGAAGAGTAGGAACCCTGTCAACCGCACCCGGAGGCACTTTTTCTGCCCTCTAATGCTCTCTTCTTTGGAGCCCCACTTTGATAGTTGTAGCTGTTCAGTTATCTTTTTTTTCCTCATACTTGCTTCGAATCCTCTGCTTGTCCAAGGATCTTGCCTGTGCATCTTAGTCATAGAGAGAAATAACAATTCTCGAGTGATGGTTGTGTGTGGTGAGGCCACCTAGGAAATACTCCCAGTACAATGTAAACAGTTGGGAGGAGCTAGGAATGGGTTCAGTCGGATCAAAGAATGGATGCAAAGGGTTAAACCAAAAGACGTGTATGAAAAAGGATAAGGGTAGAACTTCGTTTCTTAAGTGTCAAAGTCATGTCTTTGGGACCTGGATACAAAGTTAAAATATCTTTATGTGCAGGAGCTATAAAACATCTTCTGAATCACAACTTCCCTTTAATAAATTAGGAAACAATTCAATGAAGCTACACTGTCCAGCCTCTTTACCTAAGATCTAAATGATACCCCAAATCCGAATCATCATTATTTACCGTTTTTCCCAGTAACTCAAAAATAGTTTCTATGTACTTTAAATGTGACTTGTTATGAGTTTATGTTGCCTGTACCTTAGGTGTTATAGATTTATATCGGTAAAAAATTGAAGTGTTTGTTGGCATGTCACTGAAAAATTCTTGAATTCAGGAAAAATGTTTGGAAGTAGTCTTTTAAAAATTCAGCTCTTGGGGCATCGAGGTAGTGCAGTGGGTAGAGCACCGGCCCTGAAGTCAGGAGACCTGAGTTCAAATCTAGCCTCAGACCAAACACTTGACACTTACTAGCTGTGTGACCCTGGGCAAGTCACTTAACCCCAGTTGCCTAAAAAGAAAAAAAAAATTCAGCTTTTACATCTGACCAAGTTTTACTGAGTCAATTTCTACTAAACATCTAACTATAATCCCCTAATTTCATTGTTTTTGATTTTTTATATTGAAGGAAGTAGATATGAACAATTCATATTTAGGGTACCTGGCATTTATGGTATTATCAAACATAACTAATCTTTGAATATTTAACAAATACATCATTAGTCTGTCATTCTCTGTTCATTTTTAGGATCAGTCTTTATGTCAGACTAGTGGGGCCACCACTATGGGAACCTTTCCTCAGATAACTGTAGTGGTATGGCACAGAAGTAGAATACACTTTTTCTACTTAAGTCCCTTTTTTTTTTTTTTTACTAGTTGTAAGAATGAAAGACATTAGGAAAATACATTTAGTCATTGTTGATCAATCATTCGACAATTGTTGACCATCTTTTGTGTACAATGCAAGATATAAAAGTGAAAAGGAGGAATTCTGTACTTTCTCTAGAAACTTATGATCTAAGGATTATATAAGGTATTTGGAGAGGAGAGGGAGCTTTTTCAAAGGACTGGTAAGATTTGAGTTTGTTAATAGAAGGGAGGGCATTCCAGGCAGAAGACAGGTGAGGGAAGGTACTCTGGTGTGCATGTAATTTACACAGAACAAGCATGAGGCCTTGTATGACTAAAATGCGTGGGAATATTTGGGAGTTAAATAATAGTAATAATAGCTAACATTTATATAGCACCTACTATGTGTCAGGCACTGTGCCAAGAGCTTTACAGTTATCCCATTTGATCCCTACAACAGTCCTGGGAGGTAGGTGCTATTGTTATCCCCATTTTACATTTGAGGAAACTGTGACAAACAAGTTAAGTGACTTGCCCAGGGTCACACAGCTAGTAAGGATTTGAACTTAATTCTTCCTGACTCTAGGCCAGGTGCTCAATTCACTGTGCTATCTAGTTGCCCCAAAAAGAGCATTAAGTGAATATGTAGGATGGAGATAAGTTATAGGGGATATTGACAGCTAGGCAAAGAAGTTTAAATTTGATACAGGAAGAATAGGAAGCTCTTGAGGGTTTTTGAGTAGGGAAGTGATATGAAGAAAGTAGTGGCAAAGATAGTTTAGTTTGGCAGGAATTGGGATGAACCAGGAATCAGGGAAACTAGCTATGAGAGTCTGTTGTGGTGACCTGGCATGTAGGGATGAGGTAGTATCTTCATTACTGAAGATGGAAGGGATAGCATGGATATAAGAGGAAGATAACTTAATGTAGTGGAAAGAACACTGAGTTTTACTCTTGGTTATAACTAATTCTATGACCCTAGGCAGGTCACCTCACTTTTTTGGGGCCTCCCCTCTTTTTTTTTTTAAAATAACAAGTGGGTTACCTGAGTTTTTTCTCTTAAGGTCCATTCCTCAGCCCACTTTTAGTTTGTTTGGGTTTTGTTGTTGTTGGCAAACCACTCCAGTATCTTTGCCAGGAAAACCCCAAATGGGGTCACAAAGAGTCAGACACGATTGAAAAACAACATACAGACTTGGTGCTTGGATATGGAGCATGAAGTAGAAAGACTTAAAGATGATACTAAGATTTTGTTCCTAGATATTAGGTATAAAAAGATGGAGCCATTGACTGTGAGAGAGAGAATTTGGCAGGAGGAGCTGTTTTGGGGAAAAGAAAATGAATTTGGGCAGGGGTGTATTGAATTTGAGGTGAGAAGACATCAAATTAAAGTAGATAAATGAGAGTAGAGAGTAAAAAAAAAAAGCAAAGGATCAAGGACCAAGACTTGGGGATTTCTCATAAATAGGGAATTCAGAGCAAATAGGAAGAGGAACCAGAGAAGAAATGGATGAGTTAGGAGAATGATGGTATAGAATGAATGATAAGCATTGTCAAATGCAGTAAAGACCAGTAAGTATTTATTAAGGTCCTTGGATTTGACAAGAAGGAAATTATTAATGATCTTGGAGAGGAATTTCAGTATGGGAAAGCTTCCAATAAAGGATCATTTTGGAAATGGGAAAGAGTATTTAAAGATTGTCTTCCTATTGGTGATCTTTGAAGTCATTTAGAAAAGGAATGAAAATATTTTGAATATTTCCTCCCATCGCTTTAACCTTTTTTGTTCTGATATGCTAGTTAGAAACCTCGGGCCATAGATTTTAAATTTAGAGGCCATGTTAGTCTAATCTCTTAATTTTATTAGATGAGGAATTTGGGTTGTGAGGTTAAATGGCTTCCCTAAGATCACACAGGTATGAGAACTGGATTCCTAACTTGGACTTTCCACTAGACCATGCAGTGTCATGGTTGAGCACTTTTGTCAATGAAAGCTTGCTTATGAAATTTGAATTACGGAGCAGATGAATTTTTATAGGAAAACTCCACTGATACAGACTCTGGGAAAAATTGCTTCCTAAAACAGATATAGATTACTTAATCTATATTGCATATAGTAAAACAGAGAAGCAGTAAGATAGTGGCAGGCAGATGGCGTACTCTTTCAGGTGAAAAATGATGGTTAAAAATGATGGTTAACCATACCAGTAGGTGCCACCCACAGGCCTGTTCATTTTAATATTTTGGCATCCTGTTCTAAATGTAGATTGACTTGCACATTTTTAAAAAAACACAGAAACCAAAAAGTGGAATTTATTAAAGGAAGATAAGTGGTTACAGCTTATGCAAAGTGGCTATTTTTTAAAGTATCTTTACTTTTGAGATAAAATGGTAAGTTCAGCTGACCTGGCATATCATTAGCAATCTCCCTTTGAGCTTTATTTTATAAGTTCTAATGATTGCATTT